GCCTGGTCAGTGGCTCCAATGCCCGGTGTATTGCCCTGCTTCGTGCCTTGCAGCAGGTACGCCCCGTCCTTTTCCCTCTTAGGACCCAGCCCCACCTTCCCCAACACTACCCCAGCTTCTCTTGCCCTCAGAACCCTTTCTTCAGTGAAGCTTACCCTATCCCCCTTTCAGAGACCTTTATTAGGGAGCATTTTGTTGATCACTTTGTGTACATGACAGGTAATTCAGGATTACACGACACCACCCAATGAGGAACTCTCAAGGGATCTAGTGAATAAGCTAAAGCCCTACTTCAGGTAAGGACAACCACTACAAGCTACTCCCAGCTCACCTAGTCGTTTTCCTGGACCTTTTCTCTTGCTCTGCCTTTTTTCCATCTTTCTGTTCTCTGTGTTCTTTTAAAGGTGTTTTTTTTAAACGTGAAAGCTTTGTAAATTGTGAAGAGTCATACAAATATAAGGCGTTCTTGTTTTAGCTTCCTGACTCAGTGCCGTCCCCTGTCAGCAAGCATGCACAACGCTATCAAGTTCCTTAACAAGGAGATCACGGGTGTGAGCAGTTCCAAGCGGGAAGAGGAGGTGATGAGTATGAGAAATGAGCAAGGCATGCACCTGGGGGTAGAGTGGAGAAACACTCAGGACTCCTAGGAGGGACAGTGTGACCATTCTGCCCTGGTCAGGGGTTGAGGAAGTGGTTGGGCTCTCTGACTTGTGCCACCTTTGGCTCCCCTTTAGACAACCTTGTCCTCCTTGAGCCTATCGTTATACACATATTCAAGCATCTGGCATGATCATCAGGAAGAAATGTGTCCATTTCTTGTTCCCTAAGCATCTTACTCCATTTAGGCCAAATCAGAACTTCAAGCAGCCATTGATCGGTATGTGCAAGAGAAGATTGTGCTTGCAGCTCAGGCAATTTCACGCTTTGCTTATAAGAAGATCAGTAATGGAGATGTGATCCTGGTATATGGATGGTATGGTCCAGATGCTATGACTGAGAAAATTGGGGGGATGCTACCCTTTCTGCCCTTTAGGAATGAGCTGGCCATCAGCTAGTAACGTTGTAACTGAATCATCCTCTCCATTCACACCAGCTCTTCTCTGGTTTCACGAATTCTTCAGGAGGCTTGGGCTAAGGACCGTCGATTTCGGGTGGTAGTGGTGGACAGCCGGCCTCGGCTAGAGGGAAAGCACATGCTCCGCTCTCTGGTCCGTACTGGGGTCCCTGCCTCCTACCTGCTGATTCCTGCAGCCTCCTATGTACTCCCAGAGGTGAGGGCAGAGAAAAAGGACTCCAAAGTTGGAGTAAAAGGGTTTAGTAGTATAGACTACCTTCCAAGGGACAATTATTTAGAAATATTAGAATTGTATAGCCCTGCTTATATTTAATGGGAAAAATACCTATAGCATGTTAAGGAACGTTATATTAAACTAGCAACCACCAAGAGGGAACAGGACAAAAGTAACTTCAGAGTTTAGTTTTCCTGTGGGAGATGGCAGTGAGTCATTGGTTAGGTGTTTTCCAAGAGCCATCATTAAGATTTGATAGTCATTGTCTTAATATTGTTGTCCTGGGCAGGACTGGAGAACCTTATTTACATTGATCACAGATGATATTTCCCCACCTCTCCTCTCCAAAACAGGTTTCTAAGGTGCTATTGGGAGCTCATGCACTCTTGGCCAATGGATCTGTGATGTCACGGGTAGGGACAGCACAGCTGGCCCTGGTGGCACGAGCCCATAATGTGCCCGTCCTGGTCTGCTGTGAAACATACAAATTCTGTGAGCGTGTACAAACCGATGCCTTTGTTTCTAATGAGCTAGGTAAGGAGGCCCAAGAGGGCAGAAGAGAAGGTTCCAGGGATTGAGATTTGGGAGAGGGGAGGTTGAACTACAACTTGTTTTCTAAAAGGACATAAATGGGTACACCTCCTATTGCAGATGACCCCGATGATCTGCTGTGTGAGCGAGAAGAACATGTGGCCCTGGCTAACTGGCAGAACCACCTGTCCCTACGGTTGTTGAATCTGGTCTATGATGTGACTCCCCCAGAGCTCGTGGATCTGGTGATCACAGAGCTGGGGATGATCCCTTGCAGTTCTGTACCTGTTGTCCTACGAGTCAAAAGTAGTGACCAGTGAGGGAACAGAAGGTCAATAAAGGACATACTCCCTACACTCAGCAACTCTGCTGCCTTTTGTCTCTTTTAGCATCGCCACCAGTTAGGAGTCTAGACTCCCCAACCCCTCTTAGCACCTGCTACCAACATCAGACCTTTATGGAGACCACCTCAGGTGACTAGCTCCATGTCTGTGTAAGGGCCAAAGTGAAGGTCAGTAAGGGGACCAAACACTATCCAAGTCTTCAGTCTTTTATGAAGCATCTAAATGCCAGACACTGAGCTAGATATGAGGAGGAATATAAGGACAGGTAACATCTCACCTAGTCCTTGCAGGATAAGAAGTTTCTCAGTTGGAAAGAATGGGAAAGAGAAAATAGCTTGGACACAAAGACAGACTAGACCTTAAAAATGACTGGCTAATTCCAGTGTCCAGTAGTGTGGTGAGGCTAGAACTGAGAATGAGTGATAAAGCTGCAATGGTTGGGTTGGGGCCAGATTGTGAGAGTCTGATCATTGTGGTTAGCTTTAAAAAAACAGTTATCCATTTTTTGTATGTATGTGCGTTTTATTGAAAAATTTCAAGCAGCACAGAAGCAGAGTGAACTATACAAAGAATCCCCATCAGCAGAAGCAATAATTATCTAGATTTGCCACATTTGCTTTCTTTTTTCCCCTTACTGAAGTTACTTAGAGCAAATCCCAGACATTATATCATTTCACTCCTACAAACTGCAGTCTCTAAAAACTATGGAAGTTTACCATATTATTACACTTAAATTCTTTCCTTTGTTGTCCAATCCATAATCAAATTTCTATTATCTCAAAATGGCTTTTTACAGTTGGTTCCTTTGAATTGGGGTCCAAACAAATCCACACATCATATTTGGTTATTGTGTTAAGTTTCTGGAAGCAGTCTTCCCTACCCCTCTTATTTTCTCTTGACATTGACTTGTTCCATAAACCAGGTTGACTGCTTCATACTGCCTCACATCAGGAGGCAAATAAATGGTTGCTTGTTCTATTTTCAGTGATGAGTGGGTCCTGGCATTTTGAAATTTCCCATCCATTAATGATTGTTGCTTGAATTATGTTACCAGGGGATGGGAAATGGTGACACCCCCCCCCCC